TGCGGCCAAAACAAACTGAGGCGGTTGGGAATCTCGAGTTGGATCATAACAAAAACGAGATGTCGAGAAACAGGCTGGGAACGGCAATTACTTGCATTAATTAGGTACACAAAGAGAGTCTGACTCAACCAAGGGAGGATTTCACAGGAAACCGCCCCATTGTGAGCAAGAGAATTTTAAAAATGAACTCAAGGTTAGCCCCTTTCAATCGAACGAAGCTCGTTACCTTCACCCACCTTTCGCTGAAATCTGTCAACAGCAAACACTTTCTATGAGTTCTGATCTTCACCTTCAGCTGATGCTGAACGAATCCGACCAGAACTAATGAGAAGAGAATTCGTATCGCAAGATTCCCTTCATTCACGTCTTCCATAGCACTATTCTTGACACGGCTAACAATGTTAGAAACACCATTCGTTTCACCCAGGAATGCGGGAGAAACACGTTATCGCACGCGTATGTGAGACCGATGAGAACGAGAATATTGGGAGCGATACGAGCCGTCAACTCGTCGACATAGTTCCAGAAAGGACGCACCTGAGGACAATGGTAGTAGGCGTGTGAAGCCGTTTCTTCTTAACCACATTACACCGGTGACAGTCGGGCAAATCCGAAGGCCATGTCATTGAGATATAACACGTCTCGTATTAGTCGCGAGGTAAGCGAAAACTCAGGGTTATTGAGGTAATTCGCAGTTGGCGCCCAACACCAGAAAGAGCACAGCTCGGCTATCGAGCCGCCCACAGAGTGGATCCTTCACGACCCCCATCACTAATTCACGATACAAGACCTTCCTAGGCCGTAAAAGGTCACTGGACCGAGGAACGACCCTCAAGGCTGCTCGACATCATACAGGAAACTCGATAGCTTCCCGGTTCTACGACGACCCTTAGCCCAAGACATGGGAGGAGTGATGGTACGGCTAGAGAAGGCGTCCCTAACACTCTCTTCCAAAATCAAGCCCTCTGTCAAAACACAGCGTGAGAAATACAACCTTGAGTCGTGTCGATGGCTCTTCAAGTGTGGCAGTTCCAGACCCCCATTTTGACACGGACGCTGGACACAGACTTCTTTGCTGACCTTCTGCTTGCGATTACCTTACAAAAGGGTGGACTACAAGCACTCGATCGTCTTCCTACGGTCCTTGAAAAGAGGAAGTACAGCCAACCGGTTAAGGACAAGAGGAAAAACGTAAATGTCACACGCCTCAGTTCTACTCATCCAATACAACCTCATACGGTGCCTGAACTTTTGACCAATTCTTCTCTAGCTGCAGTCCGGGCACGAATCACGCTCCAAGAATACAGACGGGTCTATCAGTCTAACCTAACCGCAAGAAGACGGAAGAGATCCGTCGAGTTTCCGATCGATACATTCGTAATGTCAAGACCACAGAGGGGCGTACTCTGGGGTCCACCGATGACATGTACGAGGCTTTACGGCGGCATCTTGAGAGCCGGTTTACCAAGAAGCCTGGACTCTGCGACGAAGAGTTTCGCAGCTATTTGGCTGACTTTCCTCAGCTTTTGCTGACTGAAGCGGCTAGCTGTTAGTGTGAGATCACAGAGGGCGAAGTTTACTTGTCATTGAAGAGGGTCAGTGGTGGCAAGTCTCCGGGACTTGACCTATGAATTGTACTTAGGGCTGTCACACATCCTCGTGCCGATTTTGACTGTCGTATTCCACAACTGGTTCCGGCAGAGGTACATCCCCAATCGGATCACCAAGGTGTGATCACGCTGTTGAAAAAGGATAAGGATGGTGGGCGGAAATTACTGACTGATTGGATTGGCTGATTAACTCCGGAAACGAGTCGTTTTTTATATATTTTAGTTGTGCATCTAGAATATTCTACAGAAAACGGGAACGCTCTAGAAAAATCTAGAATTCTGATATTTTTAGCGTAAATTACTGACACTTATTAGTTGCATGTAATTTAATATTTCTATTCTTTCATACTTAAAATAACTTGAGGAGGTCCAGATATTGACACATTTAAACGGTTAACTTAATATATATATATATATATATATATATATATATATATATATATATATATATATATTTCTATGGACATTTGTATAGGCTAAAAATGACAAAATTAAAAATATTCTTAGGTTGTTAAATATAAAAGTATGCATACTACAACAATGCCTTAATAGGTACAAATACCTAGATAAAATCCTAGTTGCATAATGTGTTACTGCAAAAAGACTTAGTGAGTATTGAGAACAACTTTTTCTGAATATGACGAAAGAGATGTTGAACAAAATCAGGTCCTGATAGACGAAAATTGAGTGAGAATTCGTGTACATCGCATCCAAATTACATAACTGTCAAATCTAATTAAATAGACAAAAAAATTGAAATTTGTTCCCCCTGTGTTACTGATAGAATAAACTAAATACTAAGTACTTCAAATATCTCGCTGTGTGAATCAGTTATAATCAATTTAGGAAACTGAACCTAAAAAGGCTGCGCTGGGTATAGTTTCAGCCAGCAACGCAAGTCTCCTCTTCATCTGAAATTGTCCAGCATTCACTACCGTATAGGAAGATTGATATTACATGGCAGTTCGACATGATTTCCTTGTTTCTAATGAAAATTTCCTGTTTCTTAATACTTTGTTTAGCTTTTGAAAAGCATCATTTGTTATTTCAATGCACCTTCAAATTTTGTCACATTTTTCGTCGGTTCATCCGGGGACCACTCGAATTAGAGAGTTACAGTAAAAGGCATTTTATGCTATTAAGAGAGGAAGATAATTGTTAACCATAGATTTGAACAAGTTAAGACTGTAGTATTGGAAACATCCTCTTGGGAGTCCGTTCCATAGGGTAGTGTTTAGCGGGAAGAAGCTGTCCAAGTGGAACATACTTCTCACCAATTGAAATGGAATACGGAAGAAAAGTGGGCGGTTTGCTACAATGTGAGTGGCATGGCGGGTCCTAGCTGTGAAGGTTAAACCTAGCAGCAGAAAAGAATGCAGTTCATGTGAGCACTTTCCATAAAAGTAGTGATAGAACAGTGAGAAGCTTGCCACTTCCTTCCTGTGAGAGAGAGAGAGAGAGTTTTGAGGGCGGAAAATAATGTGTTACCCACAAGGACACGGGGACGTTTTTTGTACTCTATCGAGACTGGAAAGTGGGGACTAGGCATATGACAACAGTACTTCATTTTCGGCCTGATCTGTCTCTTGTAAGGGTAGAGGATAGCACGAGGAGTCAGATACTTACTGCAGCGATAGAGGGAACCAATCATTTATACCGCATCTTTAGCTATGGATCGTATGTACAAGATCCACTTCAGGTCATGGGTGAGTTTAAGGCCCAATAAACTTTCAAGGCACGGAGCATCCCCGAAGGTAGAATGTATTATAATTTGAATTCATTTTTAGAATCTGTTGTAAATTATTGTTTTTAATCGATTTTTTTTTTTCAATTAAGGGTACCACGAAAATAAATAAACGATCTGGAACTTTCAATAAGAGCTAGGGAAGGGTGAATAAGTGTTGGGGGGGATTATTCAAAGCTCCATATCGTTTATGTAGTGGTGTAATTCCCGACTGACGTCAATTCCGTCGGGTTTCGATCCTAGCTAGAGGCAACCGGACGTGAGCTGTGATACAGCGAAACAGTCTGTCTGTGGATGACAATATATATATATATATATATATATATATATATATATATATATATATATATATATATTATATTGTGTATATTTAGGCAGCAATTTTTCATTGATGCATGTTTCCTTAAATATTATAGGAACTTAAAATAAATAGACAAAACTTGTCTATATTATTTAATAAAAACATGCATCAATATATATATATATATATATATATATATATATATATATATATATACCCAAATATATGATTGGTGTATATGGAATGAATTCCAATAACCAATAATTACTATTCTTAAAAGAGTGCTCAATACAAATTAGAGCAAATATAATTATTTATTTAAAAAATTTATAACATAAATATGTTATAAAATCACTACAAAAATAGCCATTTTGTTTCAACACTCCCGGTGTCTTATCAAGTGATGATGTTGAATGTAAAATAAATGATTTTAAAAGTTTCAAATTAATTAACAATCCTTCGCAAGGGGAAAACGTTGTTACAAAAGCAAAATTGACCAATCAAAATACAAGTTTAGGAAAATTCAAAAATCTTGTCAACGAAGTCGTGTTATAATAGCTATTCAGATCTTTAAAATATAGGTAATATTAAAAAAGAAGTTATTCTAAACAATAATTACTAAATTATATGATAAAATTTAATATTAAAGTTAAAAACTACCAATTTCAAAATCCAAATTCAATCGCTAATAAGTTTACAACCATAAAATTACAGAGCAGAACAATCTAGCTTTTGATTTTATAACATATTTATGTTATAAATTTTTTTAAAAATAAATTATATATATATATATATATATATATATATATATATATATATATATATATTAATTAATAAGTGGAGTGGTAAGATTATTACAAACCCGGATGTACTTGAAAATAATGGTCGAATTTCCACTGGTATTTTTGCTTCTAAGATACATGTACGAATCCATTTTATACGTACGAATGGGATAACTAGAAGGAAGGCGTTTTTCCTTAGTGTTAAAATCAGAGATTTTCCTTTCCGGGAGAAAAAAGGATGTTGGACGATCTTTGCCCAATCGTTAAAGGGAAGTAAATAATATAGTACGAGTTACACCCGTCTCTGTGAAAGACAGGCTTGAGTGAGAAAAGGTGAGAGTGTGCATTGCGAATTCTCCACCCATTCCCGCTAAAAAATGCCCATGGCTTCTACCATGAGCTCCACAAATGTCGAGCTCAAAATGTCACGTGTCAAGCTTTTTTGGAAATTTGTTCAGTGAAATTAGATATTTCTTAGTGTGGCACGTAGTTTGAAGAAAAAAAAACATCAAATTGAATTTGTTTTATTAATCAGCAGGCATAGCAGAAAACGTGCTTGAACAATGTCTTTCTTTCTATCTATCTATCTATCTATCTATCTATCTATCTATGTAATTCTGTTCATCTATATATCTATTTGATTTTGTTCCTATCTTTATAATGCTAAAACTGCGAACTTTGCTTGCTTGCTTGTGTGTTTGCCACCGTGTACACGAAGTCATATATAGAGAGTGGGGGAAAGAAAAATGTAAATTCATTATAGTGTAGGAAGGGTGCAGAGAGGGAAATGGTATGAACTGACAGTGAGACCAAAATCAAAAAACACATTCTCTTTCCACCCCTCGCTCATTCCACCTCTCTTTTTTCCACCCTCTCTCTTTCCACCCCTCTCTCTTTCCACCCTCTATCTTTCCACCGCTCTCTTTCCACCCCTCTCTCTTTCCACCCTCTCTCTTTCCACCGCTCTCTTTCCACCCCTCTCTCTCCACCCTCTCTTTCCACCCTCTCTCTTTCCATCCCTTTCTCTTTCCACCCCTCTCTCTTTCCACCCCTCTCTCTTTCCAACCACTCTTTTCCCACCCTCTCTCTTTCCACCGCTCTCTTTCCACCCCTCTCTCTTTCCAAACCATATTTTCCCACCCTCTCTCTTTCCACCGCTCTCTTTCCACCCCTCTCTCTTTCCACCTTTCCGTGATTGCGTGCATGCTTATTTATATTTCAGCTTTCTTTAAACAAACAATATTGTAAATATTTAAAAAAGTAGTTTTTGCCATATTTTTAAAATATTTTCAAGTGAATATGATTTAAAAATACGATTTGTGTATACAGTAAGTATATATATATATACATACATATATATATATATATATATATATCAGTCTGTTCATATATATCTATGTTTATTCTTTATCTATCTATCTATCTATCTATCTATTCTTCAAACAGACATTTTTTTAATGTTGAAAGCAACTTTAATGTTTTATAATCTGAACGTTCAGTGACTCAACGGGTCACGGGGTAGAATAATACTAAAAATTTGTGAATCGGGCGTATGACGGACGTCGGGTGCATAATAATTTAAGTTTCTTTCCACCTCTCTCTTTCCACCTCTGTCTTTTCATCTCTCTCTTTCCACCTCTCTCTTTCCGCTTCTCTCTCTTTCCACCTCTCTGTCTTTCCACCTATCTCTTCCAACCTCTCACTTTCCAACTATCTTTCCACCTCTTTTTACTTCTCTGTTTATCCACCTCTCTCTTTCCAACTATCTCTTCCAACCTCCCTCTTTCCACCTCCCTCTTTCCACCTCCCTCTTCCACCCTCTTTTTTCTACTTCTACCTCTTTCCACCTCTCTTTTCCAACTCTCTCTTTCTACTTCCCTGTTTATCCACCTCTCTCTTTCCAGCTATCTCTTCCAACCTCCCTCTTTCCACCTCCCTCTTTCCACCTCCCTCTTCCACCTCTCTCTTTCTACTTCTACCTCTTTCCACCTCTCTTTTTCCACCTCTCTCTTTCTACTTCTCTGTTTTTCCACCTCTCTCTTTCCAGCTATCTCTTCCAACCTCCCTCTGCCCACCTCTCTCTTTCTACTTCTCTCTTTCCACCTCTCTCTTTCCACCTCTCTCTTTCCACTTCTCTCTTTCTACTTCTATCTCTTTCCACCTCTCTCTTTCCACCTCTCTCTTTCTACTTCTCTCTTTCTACTTCTATCTCTTTCCACCTCTCTCTTTCCACCTCTCTCTTTCCACCTCTCTCTTTCCACCTCTCTCTTTCTACTTCTCTCATTCCACCTTCTATCTTTTCCACCTCTCTCTTTCCTTTCTCTCATTTCCTTCTCTCTTTCACCTTCTCTCTTTTTCCACCTCTCTCTTTCCACCTCTCTTTCCACCTTCTCTCTTTCTCCTCTCTCTCCCTTTCACCTCTCTCTTTCCACCTCTCTCATTTCAATTCTCTCTTTTCTCTCATTTCAATTCTCTCTTTCCACCTCTCTCATTTCCAACCTCTCTCTTTCCACCTCTTTTTTCAACTCTCTCTCTCTCTCACACTCTCTCTCTTCCACCTCTCTTCAATTCTCTTTCCCTCTCTCTTTTCACCTCTCTTTCCACCTCTCTCACAATTCTCTCTTTCCACTTCTCTCTCTTTTCAATTCTCTCTTTCCACTCTCTCTCTTTCCAATTCTCTCTTTCCACCTCTCTCACATTCCAATTCTCTCTTTCCATCTCTCTCACATTCCAATTCTCTCTTTCTCTCTTTCTCTCTTTCCCACCTCTCTCACATTCCAATTCTCTCTTTCCACCTCTCTCTCTCATTCTCTTTCCTCTCTTTCCACAATTCTCTCTTTCCACCTCTCTCACTCTCTTTTCACCCTCTCTCACATTCCAATTCTCTCTTTCCACCTCTCTCACATTTCAATTCTCTCTTTCTCTTTCACACCTCTCTCTTTCCACCTCTCTCTCATTCCAATTCTCTCTTTCCACTCTCTCTCTTTTCCACCTCTCTCTTTTTTTCCTCCTCTCTCATTTCTCTCTTACCTCTCTCACATTTCAATTCTCTTTTTCCTCTCACATTTCTTCTTTTCTCTCACATTTCAACTCTCTCTTTCCACCTCTCTCTTTCTTTCTTTCCCTCTCTCTCTCAATTTCTCTTCCATCTCTTTCATTTCAATTCTCTCTCTTTCCACCTCTCTCATTCCAATTCTCTCTTTCCACCTCTCTCACATTTCTTCTTCTTTCCACCTCTCTTTCCATTTCCTCTCTCTTTCCACTTCTCTCTTTCTACTTCTGGCATTGGAATTCTCTCTCTCTACTCTCTCATCTCTTTCATTTCCTCTCTCTTTCCCCTCTCTCTCATTTCAATTCTCTCTTTCCACCTCTCTCACATTTCTCTCTCTCTTTCTTCCTCTCTCTCTCTTTTCCACCTCTCTCTTTTCCTTCTCTCTCTCATTTCAACCTCTCTCTTTCCACTCTCTTTCTTTCATTTCAATTCTCTTTTTCCACCTCTCTCCACATTCAATTCTCTCTTTTCCACCTCTCTCTCTTTCCCACTTCTCTCTCTTTCCACCTCTCATTCTCTCTTTCCTCTCTCTCTCTCTCTTTCCACCTCTCTCATTTCACCTCTCTCTTTCTCTTTCATTTCACCTCTCTCTTTCCTACTTCTCTCTCTTTCCACCTCTCTCTTTCTCTCTCCTCTCTCACATTTCAATTCTCTCTTTCTCCTCTCTCACATTCCAATTCTCTCTTTCCTTTCTCACCTCTCTCTCTTTCCTCTCTCTTTCACATTTCTCTCTCTTTCCACCTCTCTCACATTTCATTTCTCTCTTTTTCTCCATTTCTCTCTTTCCCTCTTTTCACATTCTCTCTCTTTTCTCACATTCCAATTCTCTCTTTCCTCTCTCACATTTCCTCTCTCTCTTTCCTCCTCTCACATTCCACCTCTCTTTCTTTCCCTCTCTCACATTCCACTCTCTCTCTTTTCCTCTCTCTATTCTTTCCTTCTCTCTTTCCACCTCTCTCACATTTCAACTCTCTTTTTCCACTCTCTCTTTCCACCTCTCACATTCCAATTCTCTCTTTCCATCTCTCTCTCATTTCCTTTTCTCTTTCCACCTCTCTCACATCTCTCTCTTTCCACCTCTCTCATTTCAATTCTCTCTTTCCACCTCTCTCACATTTCAATTCTCTCTTTCCATCTCTCTCTCATTCTCTCTCTTTCCTCTCTTTCCACCTCTCTCTCTCCACATTTCTCTCACATTCAATTCTCTCTTTCCCTCTCTCTCTTTCTCCTCTCTCTTTCCACCTCTCTCATCTCTTTCAATTCTCCTCTTTCACATTTCTTCTCTCTCTTTCCTCCTCTCTCTTTCCACTCTCTCTCTTTCCACCTCTCTCTCCTTTCTCTTTCCTTCTCTCTCATTCCACCTCTCTCTTTCCCCTCTCTCTCACATTCTCTCTCTCTTTCCTCTCTCTCACATTTCAATTCTCTCTTTTTCCCTCTCACATTTCCAATTCTCTCTCTTTCCTCTCTCTTTCTCTTCTCATTCTCTCTCTTCCACCTCTCTCTTTCCATTGTCTCTTTCTCTCTTTCCACCTCTTCCACCTCTCTCTTTCCACCTCTCTCATTTCAATTCCCTCTTTCCCTCTCTCACATTCCAATTCTCTCTTTCCCTCTCTCATTTCAATTCCTCTTTCCTCCTCTTCCACCTCTCTTTCCACCTCTTCCCTCTCTCTTCTTTCCTTCTCTCTCTTTCCACTCAATTCTCTTTCCATCTCTCTCAATTCTCACTTTCCTCTTTCCACTTTCCTCTCTTTCTCACCTTTCTCATTCTTCTCTTTCCATCTCTCTCACATTTCAATTCCCTCTTTCCATCTCTCTCACATTCCAACTCTCTCTTTCCACCTCTCTCACATTCCAATTCTCTCTTTCCTCCTCTCTCACATTCCAACTCTCTCTTTCCTCCTCTCTCACATTCCAACTCTCTCTTTCCTCCTCTCTCACATTTCAATTCTCTCTTTCCACCTCTCTCACATTTCAATCTCTTTCCTCTCTCTCTTTTCAATTCCTCTTTCTCACTTTTCAATTCTCTCTTTCCACCTCTCTCACATTTCAATTCTCTCTTTCCTCTCTCACATTCCAATTCTCTCTTTCCATCTCCTCACATTCCTCTCTCTCTTTCCACCTCTCTCTCAATTTCTTTCCTCCTCTCTCACATTCCAATTCTCTCTTTCCCTCTCTCACATTCTCTTTCTCTTTCCTCCTCTCTCACATTTCAATTCTCTCTTTCCACCTCTCTCATTCCAATTCTCTCTCTTCCTCTCTCACATTTCAATTCTCTCTTTCCACCTCTCTCACATTTCAATCTCTCTCTCTTTCCATTCCCTCTCTCACATTCCAATCTCTCTTTCCTCTCTCACATTCCAATTCTCTTTCCTCCCTCTCACATTCCAATTCTCTTTCCTCCTCTCTCACATTCCAACTTCTCTTTCCACCTCTCTCACATTTCAATTCTCTCTTTCCCATCTCTCTTTCATTTCAATTCTCTCTTTCCACCTCTCTCACATTCCAATTCTCTTTTCCTCTTCTCTCATTCTCTCTTTCCATCCTCTCACATTCAATTCTCTCTTTTTCCTCTCTCACATTCCACCTCTCTCTTTCCACCTCTCTCACATTTCAATTCTCTCTTTTTCCTCTCACATTCTCTCTCTTCCCCTCTCTCATTCAATTTCTTTCTTCCTCTCTCACATTCCAATTCTCTCTTTCCACCTCTCTCACATTCCAACTCTCTTTCCTCCTCTCTCATTCCACTCTCTCTTTCCTCCTCTCTCACATTCCACTCTCTCTCTTCTTTCCTCTCTCTCACATTTCAATTCTCTCTTTCCATCTCTCTCACATTCCAATTCTCTCTTTCCACCTCTCTCACATTCCAATTCTCTCTTTCCACCTCTCTCACATTTCAATTCTCTCTTTCCACCTCTCTCACATTCCAACTCTCTCTTTCCACCTCTCTCACATTTCAATTTTCTTTCTTCTTTCCATCTCTCTCTCACATTCCACCTCTCTCATTCCACCTCTCTCTTTCCACCTCTCTCTCACATTCTCTCTTTCTCTCTCTCTTTCCACCTCTCTCTTCCCCTCTCTCACATTCCAATTCTCTCTTTCCACCTCTCACATTCAATTCTCTCTTTCCACCTCTCACATTCCAATTCTCTCTTTCCACCTCTCTCACATTCCAATTCTCTCTTTCCTCTCTCTCTCATTCCAATTCTCTCTCTTCCCCCTCTCTCTCACATTCCAATTCTCTCTTTTCCACCTCTCACATTTCAATTCCTCTCTTTCTCTCCTCTCTCTCTCTTTCCCCTCTCTCTTTCCTCTTTCTCTCACATTCCAACTCTCTCTTTCCACCTCTCTCACATTTCAATTCTCTCTTTCCATCTCTCTCACATTTCAATTCCCTCTTTCCATCTCTCTCACATTCCAATTCTCTCTTTCCACCTCTCTCTTTCCACTTCTCTCTTTCCACCTCTCACATTCCAATTCTCTCTTTCCATCTCTCTCTTTCAATTCTCTCTTTCCACCTCTCTCACATTTCAATTCTCTCTTTCCACCTCTCTCTTTCCCTCTCTCTTTCCAATTACCTCTCTCTTTCATTCCAATTCTCTCTTTCCACCTCTCTCTTTCCACCTCTCTCTCTTCCATTCCAATTCTCTCTTTCCTCTCTCACATTCCACCTCTCTCTTTCATCTCTTTCCACATTCCTCTCTCTTTCCACCTCTCTCACATTCCAACTCTCTCTTTCCTCCTCTCTCACATTCCAACTCTCTCTTTCCTCCTCTCTCACATTCCAACTCTCTCTTTCCACCTCTCTCACATTCCAATTCTCTCTTTCCACCTCTCTCACATTCCAATTCTCTCTTTCCATCTCTCTCACATTCCAACTCTCTCTTTCCACCTCTCTCACATTCTTTCTCTTTTCTCCTTCTCTCACATTCCCTCTCTCTTTCCACCTCTCTCTTTCCATTCTCTCTTTCTCTCATTCCACCTCTCTCACATTTCTTCCCTCTTTCCTCTCTCTCTCACATTCCTCTCTCTTTCCACCTCTCTCACATTCTCCATCTCTTTCCCTCTCACATTCTCACATTCCACCTCTCTCTTTCCACCTCTCTCTCTTTCTCAACTTCTCAATTCTCTTTCCTCTCTCTTTCCAATTCTCTCTCTTTCTCACATTTCTCTCTTTCTTTCTCTCTCACATCTCACATTCCACCTCTCTTTCCTCCTCTCTCACATTCCACCTCTTCTTTCCACCTCTCTCACATTCCAATTCTCTCTTTCCACCTCTCTCATTTCAATTCTCTCTTTCCTCTTCTCTCACATTTCTCTCTCTCTTTCCTCTCTCTCTCATTCCAATTCTCTCTTTCTCTCTTCATTCTCTCTCTTTCTCTTTCACCTCAATTCTCTTTCCACCTCTCTCACATTTCAATTTTCTCTTTCCACCTCTCTCACATTTCAATTCTCTTTCCATCCTCTCTCACATTTCTCTCTCTTTCCACCTCTCTCTCTTCTCTCTTTCCTCCTCTCTCACATTCCAATTCTCTCTCTTTCCATTTCCCCTCTCTCTCTTTCCACCTCTCTCTTTCTTTCCCTCTCACATTCTTTCCCCCTCTCTCACATTCTCTCTCTTTCACCTCTCTCATTTTCTTCTCTCTTTCCACTTCTCTCTTTTCCCTCTCTCTCTTTCTCTCTCTCACATTTCAATTATCTCTTTCTCTCCTCTCTCTTTCACCTCTCTCTTTCCACCTCTCTTTCCTCTTCTCTCACATTCCACTCTCTCTTTCCCCTCTCTCTCTTTCCACCTCTCTCTTTCTACTTCTATCTCTTTCCACCTCTCTCTTTCCACCTCTCTCTTTCCACCTCTCTCTTTCTACTTCTATCTCTTTCCACCTCTCTCTTTCCACCTCTCTCTTTCCACCTCTCTGGGATTGCGTGCATGCATATTTATATTTCAGTTTTCTTTAAACAAACAATATTTTAAATATTTAAAAATATTTTTGGCACATTTAAAAATATTTTCAATATGATTTAAAAATATATTTTTGCATATTAAAAATATTTTTAAGTTAGTCTGATTTTAAAATATTTTAATTGAATAAAATTTAAAAATGTGAGTTGTTTATACAGTAAGTGGTAGTTTTATTTCAACTTTCTTCAAACACACAATTTTTTAATATTGAAATCAACTTCAATGTTTTATAAACTGAAACGTCAGTGACCCAACGAGTCACGAGTAGCTATAGTTAAAAAATTAGCTATATTGATCTGAAGATCGTATTGAAGCGAGGAACTGACTGTCTACATACATGTTGATCCCTATGTCTACACTGTCCATCCATACATGCATACATACATACATAATGAATAATAATAACAAAAATGATTTACCCCGAACAAAACATCCCGGTCAGTAAATTATTGGTCAAATAATTCACGAAAGGCGATCAGACTTTTGTTTATAAAGGACTCACTATTCAAAACTGAGGCTTTATTATTAAAAAGTCCAACAATTAATCTTTCGACTCGGAATTTCGCAGACACAGATTTGTTCGTCAGGAATAAGATAAATAGATTTAACTCAGACGAGCGAATCTCGAAATGTCTATGAAACTACGATTAGCCAGAGTTCTTCTCATTTATCTATTCACTATATACAGAAAGATAATGCGTTATATTTATATATGCATTGAGGCACCTCGAGGTGGCGTAATGGTTAGCAATCTTGTCTCACTAGAACAATTAATACTTAGTAGTGAATTCGATCCTGAGTGCCTCCTACTTTCGGCTTTGTGCCCCGTCTAAGCTACGCTTGGATAATCTTTCTACTTATATATGCATTGTCTTCTGCATAATAAATACGAAAGTCAGTGTGTCACAGTTTTTGAACCTAACTCGTAGAGGCCGTAGCCCAACAGATGATACCATTTTGGAATCAGGCTGACTCTGTGAGCAAATTAAAAACATTCCGGACCAGATCCAGACCCGCAATCCTGACATTTTCGATTCCCAATTTTTCATTACTGCCATTGTTTGCGGCGATTTTTGTACGTGATTCTTTGCAACGATTTTTTCGTACAATAACAATTTTCATAATTTGGAAATAAATTTTGGAATAATCGATATTAATTGCGAAATCCATCGAAAGTCACCCATGAAATAAAAATAATTGTTTGTACGGAAGGTAAGGACCTACGTACATCAAATTGTCTTTAAGTTAAGTGGCAGCAGAAGAATTATCATTGAATTTTTAAAAGGCTAGCTTAAATATTAATGTAACACTTAAATGCAGAGATCAATTTTAAGTTCTTCTGTAGTTTATTTTTGCCTACTCCTCCCAATCTATTGTGATTAAGACCCAATCAAGCCCCCACTCCCCGGAGGAGCTAACTTAAACGCCCAAGAGGCGGCTTTTAAACTAGTGTATTTATATCTTTCGGATTCTGTCCATATTTAACCATCTCTCTGTCTCTGTCCCTCTCTCTTTTCTCTCTCTCTTCTCTCTCTCTCTCTCTCTCTATATATATATATATATATATATATATATATATATATATATATCAGTCTGTTCATATCTATCTATGTTTATTCTTATCTATCTATCTATTTATCTATCTATCTATCTGTATACCTATCTCTGTTCATATCTATCTATCTAATACTGTTCATATCTATCTATCTAATACTGTTCATATCTATATATTTATTTGATTTTGTTCATATCTATTTATATGTTTCTGTCCATCTATCTATATATCTCTCATATCTATCTACCTATCTATATCTCTCTCAGTCTGTCCATATCTAACTATCTGTATATCTCTCTCAGTCTGTTCACATCTATCTATCTATCTATCTATCTATCTATCTATCTATCTATCTAGCGGCCGCTTGATAATACAAGGTTCTGTAAGCTTGGGTGTGCGGGTGGTGTAATGAATAACTTCTGGGAATTGGATGTCGGAAAACCGAGTTCCAATTCCAGTCGAGTTCGTTATATTCACACACGTTGATACCCTTGGAGAAATGTATGAATCCTACTTTTCTCTCCCAATTATGGGTTAATTAGTAAGACTTGTATCTTTAAATCATTAATATCTATCCAAAATTCGTAAAATCTAAAAATATTTTCTTTAAATAACCTGCAAAAAACTTGATTAGAAAAATTAAACAATCTATCTTGAGTTTATTAATTATCAATCTCTGTCCATTTTAATTTTTCTCCGGCTATTCAAAGTTTATTTTTTCTTTCTTTTATTGTTCGTATTTATCAATTTTTCTCTCGATTTCGGTTTGGTCACTCTAAATCCTTTTTGTTTGGTGGTTGAGATAGTTGTATATTTTTAAACTAAACCGGTAGCTTTTCTAAAACTAAAAACTGATGTAACACAACCCTTTTCCCTTCATTCTTCTCATTTTATTAAATTAAGAACAATAAATGAGAGACATCAGCAACAATTATTTGTTTGGTTTTTATCCGCCTCTTATTATGTATGGAGAGGAAATTGTAATGAACGAATTTTGCATTATTTACACTGAAAACACTGAATACATACTATATCCATTGAAAGCCCTTTCAGACTGCTCCAATAACCGAATTATTTCCTTTACAATGTCAACCACAGCGCCTACAAACTTCGCAGAAATTCACAAATGATAATGCCAAAAGCCATAACAAAAGTAGGTACATAATCCTGACTATGAAGGAGTAATGCTAGATCTGTGAAATCTTGCATACATTGACGTTAACTCTTCTTCTTAATAACTTCATTGCTTTTCTCCAGTTAAACTGACATTTATTCAAAGAAGTCTGTTCATCTTGTTGGTCAAAAAGTCATGAAAAGCACATATGACGTCATCATCACTGCGATACTCGTTTACAAACAAGTGTTTTTTTTTTTTATTAGGGAACAGATGATAGTCAAATTTGGAGATTAGGAAGGGTGATCAACCAGTTCAAAGCCACAGTCACGTACAGCAGCCATTGAAACCAAGGAGTTGTCTGCTGGATCATTGTCCTGATAAAAGAAGTCATCTTTCGCCAGTTTTCTTGGGCGTTTGGTCTTGATAGCTTTTCGTGACTGCCTCAGCAAGTTAACATAGTATTCTACATTGATGGTTTGACCCTTGAAAATAGCCAATAAGGAAGTGAACAATCAGATCAATGCCTCAGCTGACATTGAAAACCAATGAGCAGTGCCCTGATGAAGACAAGACCACTTTCGTCCGTTTTCCTGTGAATTTGGTCTTGACAGACTTTTGAAATTGTCTCAGTAAATTGGCATAGTGTGACCCTTTTGAAAATAGTCAATAAATACAATGTTTTTGTATCTTCAAAATCTGAGGCCATCACCTTCCCTGCAGATGAAACAACATTGGCCTTCTTTGGAGCAGGAAAAGAGGGGTGTTTTCACTGCATAGATTGTCTCTGGCTCAAAGTGATGAATCAAACACTCATCCTGAGTTAAGAAACGTTCAAGGAAACCAGCTGGATCTGATTCAAACAATGTTAGATTTTCTCGCGATGTGACCAACTAGGCGCGTTTTTGATCAGATGTGGGAAGACGTGACACTTACCTAGTAGAAACCTTCGTCCTGCCAAGTTCATTGTGTAGAATATTTTCAACTCTCTCAAGGGGCATGTTAATAGTATTCGCTATTTGATTTATAGTCAATCGCCTGTTATCCATCACCATGTAATAGGCAGCCGCCCTGACTAATTCTTTAGTGGTTAAAGCGGAGTAGACCAGTCTGTTCTGCTAGCTGGTGAAAGATAACTGGACTCAAAGCTCGCATTTCCTGGGTTTGTAATGGGATTGCTAAGTGGTCGAGGATTGCGGTTAGTGCGCTAGGATTGTCCTTCGCTTTGGCACAGGTTCTTTGATCTTTTGTTTTTTCCAACTAAATGGTGTCAAAAAAGAAGTTAGCTGATTGATTTATCCTTAAGAATGCTGGTATTAATGTTAATGAGGAATTAAGTAAGAGATGCATTTCAGGAAATTTAAGAAATGTCCTTTACTTTTTTTTATTTAAACTTTGCCTACTACTACAATGTTAGATGGATCCTAGGAAAAACATAAGCGGAGTCACATGGCACAGTGGATAAAAAGGTTGCTTAGATCCAGTGACAGGACCCAAAACGTGTGAGTTCAATACCTGGTTAAGGCGGTGGAGAACTTGGGGAGGGAATTAAGCAGGAACTGATAAATGACATCCATTAAACATGGCACGTGGAAATAGAACAGTCTACCCCAGTGAGCGAAACAAAGGGTTCAGTTCGACATTCCAACCACCTGAAGAAGGCCGGAGCGTACAACGGCCGAAACATTATAATAAATATGGCGACAAGGATGAAAACAATAGTCGGAAGAATGTAAATAGTGTACATAATACCTCATCTCAGACTGATAATAAGCAGAGCTGTTAATATCTCAGAAAATATCTGTTAATATCTCGGAAAATGCAAGGTCTAAGAAATAAATCGCAAATTTTCGACGACAATTTTTCGAAACAATAAAAAGGTCATTATGAACAAATTAATTGTAAAAAGAGAAAATTATAATTTCGAAAGAGTAAATTTAAGATCAGTTTTAAACGTGAGAAACTGCTTTGAATTAAAATGCCTCAAAATAAAAAATAATTAAACTGTAAACCGGGACAAACGGGTGGGGATGAGGTCTTTTGTGGAATATGGCTGCTAACTGTGACGTGTGAGTGTAAGCAGCTGATTTGCCAGAATCCGGAATGGGATAAAATCTTGATCCAGTAATCAATACGGACACGATTGATTTGCCTCTGAGGGGATTGGATGGGATGAGAAATAAGAGAAAAAAGATTTTAAGAGATTTTTCTTTCTTTCTGTCTTGCTTTCTTTCCCAGTCTGGTTGTATCCATCTATCGAATAATCGGTTGATCTCTCTCTAACTTCACATCTATCTATCTATCCCTCTGTCTATTTAACTATTTCAGTCTTTTCGTTATCTATTTTACTCATTTCCTATGAATAAACAGCTATGAAGATACTGAGATAGATAGATAGACAGACAGACAGATAGATAGATAATGAATAGTCTTAGATAGATAGATAGATAGATAGATAGATAGATAGATAGATAGATAGATAGATAGATAATGAATAGTCTTAGATAGATAGATAGATAGATAGATAGATAGATAGATAGGAATTGGCTAAGAATTTTTTTTCTTTTTCTTTATCTGTCTACTGATCACCTTCTCTTCATATCTATCTATCCTTCTGCCTCCTGCAGTTTCTTTATATTTATTAATTTCAGTTTATCTTATTTATCTGAGATAAATATAAATAGACTTAGATAGATAGATAGATAGATAGATAGATAGATAGATAGATATGAATAGATTTAGATAGATAGAGAGATAGATATGAATAAAATCAGATAGCTACAAGTGATATAGATATGATTCTGTTCATATAGGTATGAACAGAATCAGACCGATAAATACCTATGTATATACATACATACAAACTGAGATCGATATATATATATATATATATATATATATATATATAGAGAGAGAGAGAGAGAGAGAGAGAGAGAGAGAGAGAGGAAGGATATATTTGAATAGACTCTCCGTGTACTAAAATATTTTTTTTAGCATTATTTTCTCTCTCTCTCTATATATATATATATATAGAGAGAGAGAGAGGAAGGACATATTTGAATAGACTCTCCGTGTACTAAAATATTTCTTTTTTTAGCATTATTTATTATCATCTACCTGTCAGAATATTCGACAAATCTTATAAAATTAAAATTATAGAAAAACTATGCACAAACCCGTTACTGTGCAAGGCCGAATAGTGCCTTATAAACGCAAATCCTTCCCAGATTTTTGAAAGTTCATATCTGCTGTTATAAAAACATTACTTCTTTAAAAAAAAAAAAAAAGTAATGTTTTTTATTTATTAATCCGATAGATTTTATCATTTAAAAGTTATTTTAGTGGATAACCATATTTGAGTAAACGTTCGGTTATTTATTAAAATCTTAAAAAAGTTAAAAAAAAAAAAACATTAAAAAATATATACGCTCTGTTATTTATTTATTTATTTTCATCGACGGCCTGAATATTTGCGAAATCTTATTAGAGAAAAATATGCACTCTCCATCAGGATTCGAACGTGGGTACTCCTTTACTGGAGATAATGTCGTTAGATCCAATATGCTTCAGACTGACCCGACTGCGGAGTGCGTCGCCGATCAAGCAAGTCCGAACAGTGTCGGTAGATGAAAATAAATAAATACACTGTTTAATAAATAAACGGAGCGTCTACTCAAATATGGGTATCTACTAAAAATAACGCTTAAGTAATAAGAATATATATATATATATATATATATATATATATATATATATATATATATATATATATATATATATATACACAGGCTGTCCATAAAGTTCGTGTGCACTTTAAAAAATTTATAACTGTATTTGTATTTGTGATAGAAATAATCTGTAAAAAATGTTATAAAGTTTAATGTACCTCGTTTTAAGTATAACTAAAATAACTAATGTGATTTCAGGCATTACTCTAAATCAGTTGGTAAATGTTTTCTGGGAACTGCAAAATCGTATTTCCCTTTGTATTTCTAATGATGGAGGACATGTGGAAACTTAAATATAATTTCAATAAAACCTTAAAAATATAGATTTACTTCTTTCTAACGTGTTCCTGCCAATTTTTCTGCATACTTGCGCACATACATACATATATATATATATATATATATATATATATATATATATATATATATAATGTGTGTGTAAAATTTCTTTTGTCAATAAAATCTATCTGTATAAAAGACAATATGAATAAAGACAAAAGGAAAACTTTACGGAT